ATATATATATATATATATATATATGTGTGTGTGTACTATGTGCATGCTTGCTCTCTGGCCTTACTGCTAGTTCTCATCGCCGCTTGTTGCCGCCTTTCGCCACCCTCTTTCTTCTTTGTTTTTTGGGGGGTGGGTGGGGAATGATCTCCCTCTATTTACTCTGGCAGGCCGTATAGAGAATACAAGATAGAAAGAAGGGTAATTGCGGAGTCATGAAGTCCACCGAAAGCCTCATAGAGGCCGTTAGGCCGCCCTTCTCAACCTTAGAGCACATCAACACTCCCCTCGCCAGGGACGACGACGGCGGCAGCAGCACGCCGCTCTCGGCTCTGCAGCAGTTGGGCTCCCGCATGCCGCCAACAGTGCCGGAGACCCCCGCCAAACAACGCCGAACTGTACACGGGGCGTTCAATGAATCACACTTCACGCAGATCAGTACCAACCACCGCCCTCCGCGGAGCAGTCTCAAGGACATCCGCAAGGCCCTCCCTTCCAGAAAGCGGCCATCCGCTGAGCTTTCACAGTTCAGTGCGCTGCAGTTAGACGACACAGCAAACTCCACAGTTCTGGCCTTGCAGGACGGTGGCAGTGCAGATGCTCCACGTCGCTGCAGCACTCTCTCCACAGCGCCGCCCCCCCTCTTTTCCGCGACCGTCCTGTTCCCGTCGCAGCCCTCCTCCCCGCAGGGGGAGTGGATGCCGCGGCGCGGGTTGAGCGCGTCGCTCATGCGCGCGTTGCCGGAGGTGCTGGACGACTCGCAGGCCGACACGGAGTGCTCCAACTTCTTCAGCCGCCGTATCCTGACTGATTACCGCGAAGTGAAAGAGCTCGGCTGCGGCTCCTTCGGCAAGGTCACGCTCTACGAGGAGACAAGTACTGGCGCGCTGGTTGCGGTGAAGGTGTCCCCGCCCCTCGCCAGCGCAGAGCAGCGACAGCGCTTTGTGCAGGAGCGTGCCGTGCTGACACTTGTCCGCGGGTTCCCACACGTCGTGCAGCTACTGGATGCGTGGGAGGAGGGCCGCACACCGCAGATTTATCTGCAGCTGGAGTACTGCAAGGGAGGCTCCGTCGCTGACGCCGCCGAGACGCGGCGCCGCCGCGGCGAGCGGTGGGACGAGCGAGAGTTGTTAGTCTTCCTTGCCCACGTGGCGCTTGCGCTAGATGCGCTGCACAGCGCGAACATTGCTCACATGGACTTCAAGCCGGATAACGTGCTGATCGACAATAGCGGCGGCTACAAGCTCACCGACTTCGGCTGCAGCGTCACGCTTAACGAGGAGGGCCGTCCACGAAGACCCCTCGTAACGAGCGCACAGCGGATGTGCAGCATGACGGACACCGGCCTGCTGAGCGCGCCGACGCAACTCAGCATCGTCAGTGTGGAGGAGGGCGACTGCCGCTACTTATGCTCCGACATGCTCAACCAGAAGCGGTATCTCAAGGCGGGTGACATGTTTTCTTTTGGCATATCACTCTTTGAGCTCATGTCGGGCGAGGCGTTGCCGCACCACGGCGCGCCGTTCCTTGAGCTGCGCTGCAACCCGCCAGTGGCACTGCTCGAGCGCCGCGGTTACTCGTCGCGGCTCATTGACCTCACAGTGGCGCTGATGCACAATGACCCAACAGCGCGGCCGACAGCGCGTGACGTGCTGCGCTTTGTCCAGCTGCCGCCGCAGGCCCCACTGGTGGTGACGAAGTGGGCTGCTCTAGAGTGCGGCTCCACGGAAAATGGCATCGAAAACGGCAGCAGCAACGAGAAGCCGGAGCTGCTGGATGTGCGCTTCATGCACGCCGCTCTTGAGGTGGCGTCTCGGCTTGTCGACATCGTGCGCCGCTCACTCGGCACGGGGCTTGCGAGTAACGGCAACGGTCATAGTAATGATAACATCAGAAGCACCACCAACGGCGGTGGTGGTGGTGGTGGTGAGGCTGCGCGGCGGCTGCGTGTGGACGTTGACGTGTCGTGCACGCCGAAGACGCCGAGAATGACCAGATGATTAAATGACGGTGCGTAGTGTGCACGCACACGTGTCCCCACAAGAACGAAAGAGAGAAAGAAAGAAAAGGTAAGCGAGGACCTGGAGGGGATAGAGAGGGCAAAAAGACGGGACGGGAAAGGGAAACATTTTGAGAGGCAACAAAAATGGCGAAGGGAAGTGGTTATCGTCGCTGTTCTTGTTGCCCTGCACATTCCCCCCTCACTTTGTAGATTTACAGGCCCAAGCCAGCACGGGCTGGCCCATTAGACTCTCCTGCGTGCTGCGGGGATGTCTTACATTTCCCACCATACACTTTTCGTCCGGCGTCTGTGGGCGTGGGTGCAGATGTGTGTGCTTATATGTTGTTGTTGTTTTTTTTATTTCTCTCTGTTTCCTTATTAATTGCATCTGCCCCCCATCCTGAAAAGGAGCTGCATGTGAAGATGCAGGAAGATGCGGGGCAGGGGAAAAAGTGCCCGCCTGCGCATGCAGCACACGCTCTGCAGAAGCGAAACCGCACCTGTTTCCGTGCCGTAGTGATTGAGGTGGCGGGTGCCTTGGACGACCCTGTCTGCCAGGATGTCACACGACGCCTGCGGCAGTACCGCAACCGCTACGCTCCCATTCTGCGGATGATGGCGACACTGGTGGCGCCGGCAGTGTCAGAGGTTGAGCTCTTTGGGCACGCAGGCCGCGACACAGATGCTGCTGCTGCTGCCGTCGCTGGCGGTGGCGGTGATAGAGATGCAAAGGATGGTGTACGAGACGTAAAGAAGCAAGAAGAAGGCAGCAGCAGACCTGAGAAGAAGTCGCGCATTGAGCCACTCATTACGGCCCCCAGCGCCGCCGTCGTGGCGGGGGGGAGCGTCACCGTTGTGCACCGCCTCCACGAGGGCCTTGCAACTTCGGCTACGGCGCAGATGGAGATGTTCATGGCGTATCACTTTATCCCGCTGGCGCTGCTGCACAACCGCCGCGCGGACATCGCAGCCGAGACGGCGCCGTTCGTGTTGCGCCACTACGTGCACGAAGCGACGCGCACCGCCTCCTTCCTTGTGGCTGATCTCACTGAGCGAACGGCGGTCATCATTGACCCGCAGGTGGACACCTCCATGTACGAGGCGGATCTGGCCACGCTGAATCTCCGGCTCGTCGGCGTGGTTCTTACACACTGCTTTGTGGACATCGCGATGGGGCATGCTGCGCTGCTCCAGCAGCACCCAACAGCACTGCTGCTGAGCGGCGCACCGTGGGCGCCCGGCGGCGATCTGCCGAGCGAGGCATGGCCAGTGTTGTCGCTCAGCCCACGCTTGCAGCTGCGGGGAATTCCCATCCCCTCCTTCTCGCCGGAGTGTGTGGTGGTCGAGCTGCTGCTAGACTCGGCGCTGCTGGCTCTTTTCACTGGCACCGTTATCGGTACCGACGCGGTGCCGCGCTACGAGTTTTACGCCGATTATCCCTGGCCTTCACTGTCGCTGGGCAACGAGTCACCGGTAGTAGTGGCGCAACGCTTTCTCAAGGAGCGTCTCTGGAGCAGGTACTTTGCTCCAACAGCCGACGGCAGTGGTGATGATGCGCGGGCGCTGGACCACGTGATTATCTTCCCATCCCACGGGGGCTACAGCAACGTGACACATCAGTTGGATTTGTACTGGGCAGCGCATGTGGGAGATTTAAAGCGGATGAAGCACTCTCGCATGGTGCTAGACAAGCTGTTGGACGCCGACGCATACACCACCCACGTGCATGAGCGTCCCCCACTTCCGAAGCCAGTGCTGATGTCGCACGTGCGAGAATGGAACATTCTTTCAGTACCCTCCGCTTTTGGCGGCAGTGGTGCAAGGCTTATTGCGTCACGCTCGCTGACGTCTTCAGTTGGGGCTGCTGCTTCTGCTGCTGTCATGCCAATTGTTGTCGACATCAGAGACACTGCCGAACATGAAGCGGTGCATCTGAAGGGATCTGTGAACGTTCCTATGAGCTTTCCTGCTGACGCCTACGGCGTCAAGAAGGCGGAGCTGTGGCTGCAGTGCATCTTGCGCCCACGGCAACCTGTAATTGTGCTTTGTGCCAACGAGCAGCAGCTCTCGCTCGTACGGCAGCGCCTTGCGTTGATTTCCCCGGGTGCGACAATCGAAGCCTTTACCACAAAGGATCTTCAGGCACCCTCCACCCTGCCTTTCGCATACAGCACTGGGGAGCAGACGCACGGCGGCGGCGACAGCAGTAGCACTATCAAAACAACAACAACAACGTCTTTTCCACTGTCAACGGTATCCGACTACTTGCCGCGCCAGCTTGTTTGGGTTGTTGACGCCGCTGCCGCAGCTGCCCAACGGCGGGTTGATACCTATCAGAAACTTCACGACATCGAGCCAACGGAGGGCACCTTGGTGCTGGACTGTCGTACTGCCTACGAATTTAAAAATGGCTCCCACCGACACAGCGTTCACATCCCCTTGGCAGACCTCTGCGAAATGACGGCACTCGACGAGGTGCCTCCAGCGTCGAAGGACACCAACGAAGACGGGGCGCGTGCCGGGGACTTTTATGGGCCGTCCCCGCATCTCGGGCATGTGCTCCTTGAGAAACTGTATGAGAGCTCTCTGGCAGCCGGCATCAGGTGCCGTCCGCTTTGCCGTGGCATTGAGAGGATTATTGTGTACTGCGCTGGCGGTTACCGCTCCCTCATTGCGGCCTCGATCCTGCGCCGGGCCTTCGAGGCAGCTGCAGTGTCGATGGAGGTGCGTGACGTTGCGGGAGGAGCGCTGCAGATTATGAAACAGCGGCCCGACCTCTGGACAGTAAAGGACCGCTCTATCATTTGCATTAGCTGACCGCGCTAAACGCGTGCGGGGAACAGAATAAGAGGCTATTGCTCACTCCACGTGCAACTGCCGCTCCCCGTACGGCGTAGGTAATTCCGTTCCCCTTCCTGTGAAGCCCAAGGATTATTTTTATTTCTATGAAGTTGGCGGAGGAAACCCTTGAGGGTGTCTGCCAGCTGAATCTATATGCGTATGTCGGCGTGTGTCATGTCGAGGCGTTTATCGCTTCAACATCCCACGCGCTGCGCTTGGGTTTCTCGTTTCTCTCTCTCTCCCGTCGGAGGCGTGTGCATGTCTGTAGTGTGGAGCCAGGACACAATCACATGCAGCTGGGGAAACGCACATCGTCAGGGCATTATCCTGGCGGTGGGGGGTAGGGGGTGGAAATAACGACAGGGTAGCTGCTGTAGGCGCAGCTTGCAAGAGTCCGATCCGATGCGAAGAGACGTGTAATGGGAAGAACGTGCATTGGAAATGTTTTCAGTGCCGCTCACGATAACCCTCGGCACAAAACCGATATTGGACAGACAAGTGTTGTTGTTGAGAGGCCGTTTGCTTCGGCGGTCTGGAAGGGTTGCATAAGCAGGTGTTGCTCTCTCTCTTTCTTCTACTCACTCACTAACTCATACATGCACGTAAGATTCTCGTGTTGTGCGCTGGCTCGTTATCTTTTTTCTTCCTCTATCCGTTTTCCTGTTCATCTCTGTTGTGTGTGCGTGGCGGAAGGAAGTATGGATCTTCAAGAGTGCATTCAACATGTGATGGAATACCGCCCCAGCGTTGACGGGGGCACGGTGGATGCGTCACCGCTGCTGGCCGCACTGCAGCATCTCATAACTGCCGTCACGGACGTTGATCAACTCGGCGACGGGCTGCGGCCACTCGTGAAAGCGCTCGTCACTGCAGCGGTACACCTTCCGGAGCGGTGGGACGACATCCTTCAGGCCCTTCGCGGCGTTCTGGCAAACTCCACCGTGCCATGGCCTCACCGCGCCTTCCTCCTGAGAACGCTACCGGCCATGCTCGATGCCGCGCCCGGAGAAGCGCAGCGGCCCCACAGCGACGCGCTGTGCGAGGTGCTGGTGCGTTGGTCACTGCCGTCGCCAGGTGCGGAAGAGTGCGACTCGCAGGAAAGCGCCGCGCAGCAGCAGCACCACGCCAAGCAGCAGGAGCGCCGCGTCGCGCTGTCCGCACTGCTCAGCCTGCCACCAGAGTGCGCCACCTCGGTCGTGGCGCAGCTGACCGCGCAGCTCCCGAACTCTCTGTCGACGTGTGTGGCAGTCGTGACGAACCCATCCGCACACGACGCATTGAAGCGGGCATTTGAGGCGTGGCTCTGTGGCGTCCCCGCCTCTCCGCAGACGGCACAGATTGAAAAGACACTCAGGGAGAACTTTCGCGGCTACGGCGCGGCGCGGTGTGAGCAACTCTGCACAGTGCTCATATCGCGGGAGCCGCTGCGGAGTGCAGAAGGCCTTCCCGCACTGCAGGAGGACCTGAGCGCTCTGGTCGCGGCGGACGCGTCACACTCCGGCGTCGTGAGCAAGAGGCTGTCCTTGGCGTTCCTGTTTGAAAAAGCTGTGGAGGTGGTGAGCCTCGTGTACGCGCCGGAGAGGCCTCACCTGCAGATGACCCTGGAAGCCTCCGCCGTGCCGCTCTCTGTTATTCGCACACTCGTGCAGCTCACCGACGAGGCGTCAGTGACGCCTGATAGCATTAGCAGTGAAGAGATGCGGAAGCTGTGTGTGTGTCTCATGGTGATAGACTCTGCGGATGCGGCACTAGATGCCCCACTGCCGCTTCTCGAGTGTGTGCTTCACCTTGTCCTCCGTGCGCTGCCATGTGCACCGGCGACGGATGAAGGTGCGCGGCCGCTTCTGGCGGAGATCGCAGGCATCGCCGGTACGCTCCTGCCCGTCATGGAGGACGCGGTTCTGAAGGTCCACTCCGCTGAGCACCTGCTGCGCGAGCAGAAAGAGTCCACGAACGGCAAGACACAGACGGAAGGGGAGCTGAAGGAGGAGAACGCAGTAGAGGGAAAACAGGCAGTGAACTCGGCAGAGATGAGCCGGCAGAGTGCGTTCGTGGCTGCGGGTGTTGCGCAGACCGTGGCGCAGTTGTGTCGCATCTGCCGGAGAAGGCGTCAGGGTAATGGTGATCAGCAGCAAGAGCAGCAAGAGGGCATTTCGAGAAAATGGGCGGAGGACGTGGCAGCAGCAGCGCGCACCACCTTACCGTCGTGGAAGCGGGAGAAGGAGGGCCCCATTCGCCGCGATACATTGACGTTGCCGCAGTCGCGTCAGGCTGCAGCGAGTCCCGCGTTAGGAAAGAAGGAGCTGCAGCAGGCACGTCGACCCAGCCACTCTAATAAGGGTGGCGGCAATCGCCCGTTTAAGCGTCGCCGTCGGGATGCACGGCTGTTGTAGAGGCGCGCGCTAACACAGGACCGTCTGCTTGCAAGCTCTTTAAGGACTTGTCCGCTCTCCATGTGTGTGTGTCTCTCTATCTCTCTCTGTGTGTGTGTGTGTGTGTGTGTGTGTGTGGAAGAGGGGGGAGTTCTGGTCTAAGACGCTGGAGAAAAGAGGCGAGGTAGAAAAAAAACAAAATTGCTTGTATGCGCATCTCTCTTCTGGGCCGTCCCAGCTGCTGTCCTTTTTGTTTTTCTTTTTGCTTTTCACGATTCCTTCCGTCGCACTCCCCCCTTCCAACATTTGTGCGCAGCAGAATAGGTATTTTGTTTCTTCCGCTTCGTGCCACCGGTGTGCGGGTGGTGGGGGACCGTGAAGAAGAAGGAGGAGGAGTGTGCGTAGAACAGCACCACGCCTGCGTGTGTGCGGGTGGTGGTGGTGGTGGCGGCGGCGGCGGAGGTTGTAGGGGTGTGTACCTTGTATATATAGCAAGCTCCTCTTGAGTTGCCACGTGCGCACACGCTGGTGTTAGCTCTAGCCCACACCGACAGGGGACATCGCAACAACAACAACAACAACAACAACCGCAGCGCAGCGGCATGTGGGGGCACACAAGACGACTGATGCCCATTGCGGCGTCGGCGGCGAGCAAAGCCACCCTGGCAGCGACACCAGCGGCGGGGGCGGCAGCACGCGACGGAACAGGGCAGATGAGCCTGCAAGGTCTGCGCGTTGCAGCATTTTTCGAAAACTGCGATACGGCAACCACTGAAGAGCCGATTGCTATTGGACAGATAACCGCACAGATATCCGAATCGGTGTATGCTGTGTTCTTCAAGGAGATCGCACTCTCACCCGTAATTGAAGTTGGCTCGCGGGTGTATGTCACATACGGCCGGGACGCGCAGTTCGCTCCCGAGACCGGAAGGATGAACAACGAAGTAGCGCCTGCGAATGAGGCGGCGGTAGCAGCTGTAAGTGCCGCAGTGCGACGGCAAGGCACAGCAGCCAGTGGTGCGAAACGGGCTATGGGTGGCACACCAGTAACAGAAGCAGTGGTGTCCCCGGCAACCCCCATAGCGGCATCTTCCGCAATTACAACAGATAGTGTCGCAGCCAGTGTGCGCCCCTCGCACTCGCCCAGTCCTGGCACAATAATAGGCGGCCTTGTGGCAAAGGTCAATGGTAATGGCACATTTGCAGTCCTCCTGGATAACGACCGCTTTGACCTTGCCGTTCCACGTGAGATGATCACGTTCTCAGAGGGACGATCCAAGTTTGTGTCTAACGAGAAGTTCCAGGAGGTGCTGGAGTGGGTGAAGTCCGCTGGTGTTGACCGCCGTTCCGACCAGGAAAGCACATCATGCATCCTCTTCCATCGCGGCTGGCGTGCGGATAAGCTCTACCTCCTAGACAGTGCAGATGTGCACTGTCTCTCGCATCTCAACAAGTCTGTACGCATGAGCGTTCTCGAGAAGTCCGAGTGGGAACGCGACCAGCACAGGCAGAAGCGCGAGCAAATCAAGGAGCGCATCAAGGAGAAGGAAATGCGGTACGTCCTCACCAAGTACAGCGGCGTCTTTAGTGCTTGCGTGGCAGTGCTTGGTGTTATGTCTGTCTTTGGGTGGAACTTCAAGAACTACAAGAAGCAGCAGCGCTCCTACCAGCTTGCGATCGCAGCAAACACCCTCTCTCAGCACGGCAGCCGTCTGGCGCTCAAAGGCAATGTGCTGCGCGAGGCGGAGGAGCAGCGCGTGCGACAGACACTGCGGCAGCAGGACCTCTCGCACCCGCGCATCGTCGTCTTGGTGGGCTTCTACGGCTGTGGTAAGAGCCTATTGCTGCGTGCCGCCGTGCGCAAGGAGAAGATGGCGGCGGTGTTCGTTGAGGTCCGCGCGAACGAGGACCCGCTGCGCTCCATCGTGAAGTCGCTGGGCGTGCAGAACATTGACGCGTGTGGCGACCTGCTCGACTTTATCGCCGACGCGTCGGAGCGAGCGCGCAAGCTCATGCACGGCGCAACGCCGCTGCTGGTGCTGAAGCTGCGCGATGGCAGTTTGCTGCCGCGTGTCTACAACGAAGTGTTGGCGCTTGCCTGCGACCGGCGACTGTGCCACGTCGTGATGGAAGTCCCTATGGAGTCCCTCACAATCGCCATGACGGCGCTGCCACGCCTCGACTTCCATCTCATCCCGAACTTCTCTGTCAGTGAGGCGTTCAAGTACACGCAACACATCATCGACCCGCTGGAGCTGACAAACTTCGTCGAGGTTGTCGGCACAAACAGCAACGACCTTGACGAACTTTTTGCGGCGGTGCAGCATACACGTACATCCGCCATGGCGTACACGAACCAAAAACTCGTTAAGGCCATGCGCCAACTGCAGGCTGCGTGGGCAAAGGACCCTTCACTCCGTGAGGCAGTCATCAATCTCGCGCAGTTCCCGTTCGAGACGGGGCAGCGTGAGGGATACGATTACTCCAGCCTTCGTAATGAGGCTTTACGCGACATCGTAATGTACAACCCTGTAACAGATGTCTGGATGTTTCACCAAAAAGTATTTCACACAGCAGCCCGATGCTGGCAGTAGGCAACCGTGCGCCCGCCCATGCATGCCACATGCTCTCAAGGCTGCATTATCCCCGCTCCGAAAATAAATTGTTGCCAATGTACCCTGTACCCCTGCCCGCGCAGAGGGGATGCTTCCTTTACACTCGTCTTCTTTCCTTGTCTTCAGTTTTCGCTCTCCAAAGACTCAGCAAACAATGGGCAAGCTTGGCGCAATTCTCTATGGTGTGGTGGGCCTCGTCGCCTTCCTCTTCGTGCTGGTTGGTACGCCGATTGATCAGTTCCGCTCCAAAAATGTTGATATCATTGGCAATACACATTGCCTGACACTGTGGGGAAACAAGGCGAAGTGCTACAGCACGAAGTACGACACATCCATAAGTGAGACGTTTCCGGGATGCAACACACTCGTAAAGCATTTCAAGGCGGCGGAGGCGTTTGCCATCATCTCGGTTTTCGTGCTGTTGGTTGCGGCCATCGCCGGGCTGGTGACGTGCTGCTGCTGTGGATGCCTCAGGTGGGTCGCCAGCTTGCTGTCAGTGGTCGGTATCGTGACAGTCGTGATCGTATGGGCATTGATGGCACACGCGTATAACAATAATGTGAGCGGTTGCATGTCTACGCCCTTCAAGCACCGCTACAAGTACGGTGCTGGCTTTGCCCTCATCGTGACTGGCTGGTGCCTCCTCTTCGTCGCCCTTGTCGTTCTGAATTTGTTCTAGACGCCCCGGACGTTGGCGACTGGCGAAGCAGGAGGGTAACCTGGAAGCACAGTTGCGCCTGTGGGGAGAATTGTGTGTATTTCTTTTTTTTTATGGGAGCGGGTGTAAGACAGTGACAATGAGAAGGAAGTTTTATGTTGATAATACATATATATATATATATATCTATATCTATATATATCTATATCGCACCCGTGAATATGATAGGGTTGCAGAAGTGGCGTCACTAGTGTCACTTCAAGCGTTGACCAGCCGCCTCGTCGGGCAGTATCAGCGCCAGCATTTTTTTCGGGGGAACGGTTTTTTTGTTTCCTTTGTAGACGCCTTAGCGGGCCGCTGTTTTTTTTTTTTTTTGTGATGGTGAGAGCGATGTGTTTAAAATGGTATGTGGGCCTCCCTCCCCCCTCCGCGCACACTGTGTGACCCTCATTCTTTTCCTCTTTCCCACTCTCTTCTCGTGTAGATTGCGCCTCGGTGCTGCTAGGGGGGGGACCACCCGGTCTTGGGTTTAGGCGTGTGACTGCTGTGTTGAGTGCTGCGCACTCTGGTGGGGAGCCGTTGGGTATGGTGTCGTCAGAGGAACCCACTGCAGAGGCCGGCGGTGCGGCGTTGCACGACCCGGCGCTTTTTTCCGCCAGTGGGGATAAATCAAAGTACAACGAGGCCGCCCTTTCTGCAGAGGATACCTCAGCGGCAAAAGCAGAAGCAAAGAAGGTCTCTGCACTTGAGGTGTTCAAGTACGCCAGCAGGGCCGATGTGGCAATGATGGTTGTCGGAGGCTTCGCGGCAGCTGCAGTTGGTGGCTCATCGCCTGCCTTTTCTTTTGTCTTTGGTCGAATGATGAACGGCCTTCTCTCGCAGGGCAACGCGGAAGAAGAGACAGCGAAGAGTGCGCTGATTATGGTTTACATTGGGATTGCCGTCATAGTATGCACGGCATTGTACGTCAGCTGCTGGACGATTGCGGCGACGCGTCAGGTGGCGACTGTTCGCATGCTTTACTTCGAGTCGGTGCTTCGGCAAGATATCGGGTGGCACGACGCACACAGCCCTGGCTCACTCACAGCACGGATGACAGGAGACACGCTTGTCCTGCAGAACGGCATTAACGACAAGCTCGCTCAGGGCATCGTGAACCTGTCGATGGGTGTCTTGGGCTTCGCGTTTGGCTTCGTCTTCTCGTGGGAACTGACGTTGGTTATGCTCGGGATGATGCCGCTCATCGCCCTCATGGGTAGTATCTTGGGGAACGTCATGGCGAAGATGTCAAATGCATCCCGTGAGCACTTCGCCGCGGCGGGGTCGCTGGCCACGGAAGTCATGGAGAATGTGCGGACGGTGCAGACGTTCGGCCGGGAAGAGTATGAGGTGGAGCGGTTCCGTGTCGCGGTGTTGGCTGCGCAGAAGGCGGGCATCAAGAAGGAGGTCACCACATCGCTGGCCGCGGGTTCGACGCTGGGTGTCATGTTCATCACCTACACGATCGCCTTTTTCTTCGCGTCCTATCTCGTGCAGTGGGGCCGCCGCGACGTGGGGGCGGTCGTCTCGTGTTTCATGTCGGTGCTCCTCGGCAGTTTGGGCATCGGGTTCGTGTCGCCGTCGTTGTCGGCATTCGCAGAGTCGCAGGCGGCGGCACAACACCTCTTCGAAACAAACAGCCGCACACCGGAGATTGACGTGGACGCCGGCGGGAAGCCAGTAGGGGGTTTCTTCAGCGCTATCGAGTTCCGCCACGTCCGCTTCACGTACCCGACGCGCCGAAGCATGACGCTCTTCACGGATCTCTCGCTGGAGATCCGGCGGGGGCAGAAGGTGGCGTTTTCAGGAGCCTCAGGGTGCGGGAAATCGTCCATTATCGGGCTCCTTCAGCGCTTCTACGACCCTATCAGTGGCGAGATCCTTGTGGACGGCACTGACATGCGTGAGCTGTCGCTGAAGGAGTGGCGTGACCAGATTGGCATCGTGTCACAAGATCCCAACCTCTTTGCCGGTACAATGATGGACAATGTCCGCGTGGGCAAGCCGGATGCAACAGAGGAAGAGGTGATGGAGGCGTGTAGGAAGGCAAACATTCATGATACCATTATGGGTTTGCCTGACAAATACAACACGTCTGTTGGCGCTGTCGGCTCGCAGCTGAGCGGTGGACAGAAGCAGCGACTCGCGATTGCGCGGGCAATCGTGCGGCGGCCCGCCGTCCTGCTGCTTGACGAAGCCACCAGCGCGCTCGACAGGAAATCGGAGATGGAGGTGCAGGCGGCCCTGGACCGCCTAATGGGAGAGGGCGGTATGACGGTGATAGTTGTGGCTCACCGCCTCGCGACGATCCGCAACGTGGACCGCATCTACTACTTTTCCTACGATGGGGTGCGGGGCAGCACGATTGAAGAGGTGGGAACGTTCGACGAGCTGATGCGGAAGAATGGGATGTTCGCCGTAATGGCCATGACGCAGGGTGTCGCTGCAGCTGCCTCCCCGGCAACGCATCAAATGAGCACTGCGGTCGTTCCCGACGCTGATCTCAACACCTTCCTAGACGATGAGGAGCTCGCAAAATTGGACGAGGAGCAGCCGCGGACGGAGAGGCAGATGGTGCCGTACGAGGAGCTGGCGGAGTGGGAGACAAGGCGCACAAAAGTGTCACTGTGGCGCATTATGGGCCTGGCGAGAGGGCAGACTATCCACATCGCATTTGCCATTCTGGGCTCCATCATCACGGGTGGGTCGGCACCGGCCAATGGCATCCTATTCGGGAAGATACTCGCTGTCCTCGGACGCTTCGGTGTCGATCACGACGAGGCGGCCCTGCGGAGCGGCACGAATCTCTTTGCCCCGCTTTTCCTCGTGATGGCGTTTGGAACCTTCACTGGATGGGCGCTGCAGTCCCTATATGGCTACGCGGGGGAGCACCTGACGACGAAGCTGCGCGTCATGCTCTTCCGTCAGATCCTTCGGCAGGACATGAGTTTCTTTGACATCCGCGGCAGAGACGCCGGCACGCTCTCTGGAATGCTCTCCGGCGACTGTGAGGCGGTCCATCAGCTTTGGGGGCCATCGATTGGGCTCAAGGTGCAAACATTCTGCACGATTGCAGTCGGTCTCGTTATAGGTTTCGTCTTCCAGTGGAAGTTGGCGCTTGTGGCCATGGCTTGTCTGCCCATCGTGGCGGTGGCCAACTTCGCGCAGCAGCTGATGGCAATGGGGCTTACTCAGAAAAAGGGAGGAGGTGCCTCCGATACTCTCGTCACGGAGGCTCTGTCTAACGTGCGCACTGTCACCTCCTTCAACCTAAAGGATAACCGCATTGCCCTGTACCGTAATATAGTGGGACGCGAGGTCCCGAGAGACATGAAAAAGGGTGTCGTGATCGGTGTGATCTTCGGCTTCAGTCAGTTCGTGTTCTACGGTGCCTTTGCGCTGTGCTTCTGGTACGGCGGGAAACTAATCACAGCAGGCGAGGCGACCTTTGAGAAGGTTGTCGTCGCTTCTATGGCGGTGCTGATGGGTGCGATGGGTGCGGGTGAGGCTGGCGGCTTCGCATCGAAGGTGGCGGACGCCGATAAGGCGGCGAAGCGTGTTTTCAGCATTATTGACCGCATCCCGGACGTGGATGTGAGGCGTGGCGGGGACACTGACATGGGTAGAGGCTGCGATCTCACGCTCCGGAAGGTGAAGTTCATATACCCCGCCCGGCCAAAGCAGTTGGTGCTCGCCTCTGTCGATATCCGCTTCCGAAACGGCACCTTAAATGGTCTTATGGGGCAGACGGGTTGCGGGAAGTCGACGATTATTCAGATGTTAGCGCGCTTCTACGACAATCGCAGCGGAGTGGTCGCTGTAAACGGCAAGGACATCCGCAGTTTGGACATTTCAGCGTGGCGGTCAAACATCAGCATTGTGATGCAGGAGCCAGATCTCTTCAGCGGAACGGTGCGGGAAAATATACGCTACTCCCGTCCCTCCGCCACGGACGAGGAGGTTGAGGAGGCTGCGCGCTTGGCATACATCCACGACGACATCCTGAAGTGGCCTGAGGGATATGAAACGCAGGTGGGATACAAGGGTCGCGCTCTCAGCGGTGGACAGAAGCAGCGTGTGGCCATCGCGCGTGGGTTTCTTCGCCGCGCCCATCTGATTCTTCTGGATGAAGCGACCAGCGCGCTCGACAATGTGACAGAGGCGAAGGTGCAGCAGGGCATCAACGAGTACCAACAGAAGCACGGTATTACCATCATTAGCATCGCCCACCGCCTGACAACCATCCGCCACTGCGACCAAATCACGCTGCTCGACAGTGGTCGTATCATTGAGAGCGGAAGCCACGACCACCTCATGTCCCTGAGTGGCGAGTACAGGACGCGCTGGGAGCTCTACACCAATGTCTCGAACTAGGCGCGTTGGAAGCGGGCTTGCCGTTCCCAGCCAAATGAGGGCATGACTCCTGTAATATATAGTTTACACAATTAACGGGGGATTGAGGCAGCAGCTGAGTGCAGTCCCTGTTCTGAAAACGTGTTGAGCGGTCGTTTATTTATAGCATCATTTTTTGTTAACTTTTTGGTCTCACTGTGGCGCGGGCTCTCCCTTGAAGCATGCCTTGTACCACATGGTGGGGAGTGGGATTTATGCTGGTTTTCTTTTGTGTGTAAAGCAGGAGGCTATGCGTGCGCCTCCACTTATCGTTGCAGCGCATGGGGGACCTCTTGCCGCAGTATCACGAAAAAGAAAATGAAGGTGGACGCAATGAAGAGTAATGGGGATTGGGCGCAATGCCGTTGATGGGGAGGGGGAAAAAAAAAAAATTGAAAATGAGCCGTCTTCCCCGGTCTATATGTCCCTGAACAAGTTGTACGAAAATGTACAATCGTACAATACACCATCCGATAAAATTTTGATGTCCCCTTTCTTTTGTTTCTAGTAGTGGTGCTGCTTTCTGTCATATGTATATATATATATAACGAAAAGCGTGTTCCATTTCTTTGCTTTTGTGTGTGTGTGTGTGTGTGTGTGTGTGTTCTCACCTTTGGTTCGTCGCGTCGTTGTTTTCGTACTGTATTGCATTCTTACCTTCACGTTGCCGCGGCTTCCTCCGCTAGAGAGTTGTCTACGACTCTCGCAGACGCGTGCAAGTGCTGCTCTCGTGTGGCATCCTCCTTCCGATGTTCTGTCAACGGAAACAGCATACACTTGGGTAACTCACGTGGCGCCGTATTGATCACAGTCCTTTTTGTTGTTGATGATGATGTTGTTGTTCCTCACTTGTTGCGGCAAGCTAACCGCAGGCGCGGTGAGTGTGTAGAGCGGGTGACATGGCATGTGTCGACTTTAAGAAGCCGATCACGGTTGGCGTGGAGGATCTTGTGCTGCTACCACAGCTCTCTGACAAAACCATCATGGAGAACCTCAGGCTCCGCCACAGCAAAGACATCATCTACACGAGCATCGGACCCGTGCTTCTGACTGTGAATCCGTTCAAGAAGATTCCGAATCTCTATAGCGAGGAACGCATAGAATTCTTTCGAGGTGGTGGAAAGAGCAGCAGTGGTGGTGTCGCTGGATGCAACCACGGTGGTCCGCACATATTTGGCTTAGCGGAAGAAACCTACCGTACCATGGTGTCCGAGGAGGAGAACCAGTGCGTTATCATCTCTGGGGAGTCAGGGGCGGGGAAGACAGAGGCGTCCAAGCACATCATGCAGTACATCTCCGCTGTGTCGGGCAACACACAGGAGATGCAGCGCGTAAAGCACATTATCCTTGAGTCGAACCCGTTGCTGGAGGCATTTGGTAATGCAAAAACTGTTCGCAACGATAACAGCTCTCGCTTCGGGAAGTTCTTTGAGATCTTCTTTGACCGTCTAGGTGGTCCTGTTGGCGGCCGCATGTCAAACTTCCTCCTTGAGAAGTCGCGGGTGGTAAGCCAGCAGAAGGGGGAGCGGAACTTCCACGTGTTTTACCAAATGTGCCACGGGGCTGAACCTGCACTTCGAGAGCGGCTGCGGCTGCGTGACGCGGACGAGTTCTTCTACTTAAACCAGGGCGCCGCGCTCGACCGCGCCGGCACCGACGATGCGGAAGAGTGGACGGCGACGCTCGCAGCGATGGAGGCGATGTCGCTCACACGGGCGGACCGGCAGGGCGTTTTCGAAGCGTTGGCGCTCATACTGCACATCGGCGAGCTGCAGCTCGCCCCAGCAGTTGCAACAGGCGATGCCGCGTCGTTGACTGTGGCAAACCGTGACGAGCTCTCTTTCTGCGCTGGGCTTCTGGGTGTTGATGCGGCCGCATTGGAACGGGCGCTCACATGGAAACGGCTTGAGATGGGTGTCAGTGAAGTGGTGGATGTTCCTCTTGATGTGCAGCAGTGCCGCAACACGCGTGATGCCATTGCCAAGGCCCTGTATCACCATCTGTTTGATTTTATTATTGAGACTGTGAATATGGCGTTGGGAGAGAAGAAGCACGACTTGATGCTTGGTGTACTTGACATTTATGGATTCGAGGTATTTGAGAAGAATGGTTTTGAACAGTTCTGCATCAACTATGTCAACGAAAAACTGCAGCAGATATTTATCGAGTTAACACTAAAGGTGGAGCAAGAAGAGTACGTGCGGGAGAAGATACCATGGGAGGAGATCAAATACTTCAACAATAAGATTGTATGTGATCTTATTGAAGGCACACAACCGCCCGGACTATTTGCTGTGATTGACGATGTGTGCGCGACGATGTCGAAGGAGGCGGAGTCTGTTGCCGACATCAAGATGCTTGACAAACTGGACGCCGCACACGCTGGCAACCCGCACTTTCACCGGACTGACCAGGGATTCTGCATCAAGCACTACGCGGGTGACGTGCAGTACAATGCGGATGGATTCACGAACCGGAACAAGGACCTCCTTAGCGCTGACGTTGTTGCGTTGCTCCGCTCTAGTACCAACAGTTTTTTGCGTAAAATCCTATCTGAGATCGTTGTGGTCGAAACGGGAAGTGTAGGTGGCGGCAAGAAGAAACGCACGACAACTGCCGGTTTTAAGATACGCCAACAGGCTGCAAATCTTGTCACGACGCTCATGGGCTGCAACCCGCATTACGTCCGGGCCATTAAGTCAAACGACGAAAAGCGCCATAACTTTCTGGACGAGGCGCGGGTGCTGCACCAGGTGAAGTACTTGGGTCTGCTGGAGAGTGTTCGCGTTCGACGAGCGGGATACAGCTACCGGCAGTACTTTGACAAATTTCTGAAGCGCTTCAAGTACATCAGCCCTGCAACGTTTCCCCGCCCATTTAGGGGTTCAGACGCCGAGGCCTGCAGTGCCCTCCTGCAGCATGTCAGCAATGTCCTTCCAACAGGCTCGTGGCAACTGGGCCAGCACAAAGTGTTTATCCGGCAGCCGCAGCACCTCTTCGTCCTAGAAGACCTCCGTGAAGAGGCATTTGACAAAATTGTCTACAAAATTCAACGCTCATGGTACCACTACCGGCAGAACAAGGATGGGATTCTCCTCAAGGCCGGTATGGGGCGCCTGTACGCGAAGGCAGGGAAGGCACGACGGGCCGACAGTGTGTTCCGCCCCTATTTCGGTGACTACCTCGACTATCGCTCCAGACTTGTGCCGCTGCACCCGTGTGTGGATTTTAATCCCATCGGAGTCGCATGGAAGGAATACTTTTCAGAGACGGGAAAGCGGTATTACCACAATTTCATCCTCCAGCAAACCCAGTGGGAGCGTCCGCGTGAGCTATCACCGCAGAAAATAATCTTTAGTGGTCTTGTGGAGCGTGTCTTTGACCATGGAAAGGCACTCTTGGAGAAAAACTTTTTTATCGTGACCGATCTTGCCGTCTACCTCATTCAAGAGCAGGTGGAAACGGTCGTGCAACCATCTGTGAAGCCCACACGGAGAAATCCCCGTCCCACACCACCCATATCCTCCACTGTGAGAAGATATATTCTGAAAAAGCGGATTGACATGCGTCTGTTGTCAGGGATTTCTCTCACGAAGCATGCCGATACGCTTCTTGTGTTGCATTTCTATCAGCCGTTGACGCCTTACCGGCAGGTGGTGCACACAGCAAGCAAGCACGTCCACAAGTGTGAGTGTTGTGGGAGCAAACTGTCGCCGGCCGCAAAGAAGCAAAACTGCCCAGGCTGTGGGCGCCTTTGCTGCTCGAAAAACTGCCTTCTCTACACACGGCCGTTCCCGACCCTCCTGGGACACTCAAAGCCGGTGCGAGTCTGCCCGAATTGTGTGCACGGGGAGCCGTATGAGCTCGTCGAGGACGTAGTGTTGCTGAGCCCCATGAAGACGGAAATTGCCGCACTGTTGCGGAAGACGTACCGACAGTTGATGGGTAACAAGGTACCGTTGAGCGTCGACAACGCGCTGACGTACCAACTCGCTGGTGAAAGTCAGCGGCGGCACCTCACCGCCATGGCCTCCGAATCCATTACGGAGACAGCCGTTCTCGCTGCAGGTCCCGCCGCCCTCACGGTGAGTGCGCCGCTTGGCATATCACAGGAGAAGATCCGCGCAGTTGAGACGGCGCGGGAGCAGCGGCGCATCGCTCTGGCGGAGCGACGCCGGCAGGAAGAAGAAGAGGAGCGGAGCCGCGAGGCCGCGCGGGAGCGGCAGCGGGCGGAGGAGCACCGGTGCATGGTGGAGGAGCGCAAGAAGGCGCGAGCGGAAGCAGAGGAAAGTGCCGAGGCGGAACGGATGCGGCGCGAGCAAACAGCGCGGGAGCGGCGTGAGGAAGCGGCGCGAGTTGTGGCGGAGCGATCGACGTGGTAGCGCGTGGGCCGTTGCGCGGCCGCTGCTTGAGAGAGGAAGAAGGGGGCGAGATGGCCCACGCACATACATGGGTGCTGAGAGGGTTAGATGGGAGAGAAAGAGATGGAGGACACGTGATTCTGCCTGTGGGGGTGTTTTTCTTTTGTTGGGTTTTGCACTTTTGTCTTTCAACTATTACTATTGTTATTCCGCTGCAGTGCTTTCTTTCTTCATTTTCTTAATTCTTGTCGCATCAGGGAGTGGTGTGTATTTCTTCGCCCGCGTGATGGAGTCTGCGGCGCTGGTGGGTGTTGGCGGTGTGGCTAGCCGCAACGACGGCGGCTTCACGCAGACCCGCTTAGAGGCGCTGCGGCAGGAGCTGGTCGCGAAGCAGACGGAACTGGACTCCTTGCGTGCGCTTCCGCGAGAGAACAAGTACCTGCGGGGGAAGCTGCTGGCGCTGAACGACCGGGTGAACATCATGGCGGCGGAGTGGGCCGAGCCTGTCAGCGGCGAAGACATCAATCTTCGCGCACGCCTGCTGGCGTACCAGCGACACAGTCGCATGCTTCAAGAGGAACTGGAGCGCAAGGAGGACACCATCGTCGAGCTGCGAGGGGAGCTGGATCAGAAGGAGGAGGATCTCCTAGTCAGCAAGAGGCGCTGTGCTATTCTTTTCGAACGCCTCCAAGCGTTGGGAGCTGTGACTGTCAAGAGCAGCGAGGAGACGGCAAAGGACGGCGCATGCGCACTGGTCATGACGGACGAAGATGACCCGACGAGTTTTCTGTCGCTGGTTCGCAAGGTGCGCAGCGTGGAGTCGGAGCGGGAGTTGCTGCAGGAAAAGCTCATATCTCTCCAGGAGGACTATGAGCGGCGGGGGTTTCTCGTGGCAGCCGTTCAGCGCGAAAATGCCGCGCTGCGGGCATCGGTCTCTCAGCTCATCCAGCAGGTGCAGCTATCGACGATGATGCAGCTGGGTGGCACAGCGGCGGGCTCAGTGGAAGGTAACGAAGGGTGGCGTGACGCCGTGGATGAAAAGCAGCGAAAACTTCTCGCCTATCGCACCCAGCGCGAGGCGAAGAAGCCTACGATCGTACAGGATGATTCGAATGGTGGATAAGCAACAAAGAAGAGGAGTGGGCGCCTTGCTGGAGTGTGGCCCTCAGGTGCTTTTTGCACATAGCGTTTTTTTTTTTTAGTTCTGTTTTCTGTCGTACAAGTGTCAGTGTATTAACGCATCTCTTTTGCCATGTGGTTGGTGGTGTGCTGAGCGTCCGAAGTGTGGCGACTGGTGGAGAAGGCCTCTTCAAAGGCTTGTTTTAGTTGTGGTTCTTCTTGTTGCTGGTTCCTGTTGTGTCTTTCCGTCGCCTCCAATGAGGGAAAAGCCAGTCTACAGTGGAAATATCAGGGGAGGGACCGAAAAGGTAGCCCACAAAAGCAAGGGAAATGTCCAACGATCCTGCAATAAACACGGCACTGCTGAACTTCTGCGCATCGCTCGACAACGGCCCGAAAAACAGCAGCAATGCTGACGCTCCCACGCACCGCAACCCAGAGGACATGCAGTGGCTCAAGGAGGCGCTGCAGTCCGTTGAAGCGCCGGAGCGGCAGGTACGCCGCCTCTTGGACACAGTGGCTCGTGACGACATAACGGAGGACGCCTGCGCCGAGGCACTGGAGGAGTTGAGCGATTTGGTGGAGGATATCAACTGGGCCATCGAGTTCTCTCTCATGAATGGACACAAGACTATATTGGACCTGCTGCAAAAGGGTAAACTCGCTGCAGAGAGCGCAAAGGTGCGCCAGAACGCGGCGATGGTCATCGCTCATGCCGCGCAGCTCAACGAGCGCGTGCAGAATTGCTTTGAGGAAGCGCAGTGGCAGAACGTGTTGGTCCCGCTGCTTGAAAAGGAGGAGTCCTCCGCTGTCTTGGCGGCTCTTTTGCACAGCTGCAGCTGTCTTTGTCGCAGTTACGCACCGAATGCCCATCTCTTTTGCCGTGCAGGGGGAGTGGAGTTGGTAAAAGTGCTCCTAGGAACGGAGGACACCGGTTCCCCCATCAGTAGCAGGATCATCAGACGTGTGCTGTTTCTCATCACGTATCTGGCGGATGTGGCCGATTTCGAGACTGAGGGAATGCTTCGCCTCATATGCAAGCATGCCAAAAACCCCGACGACGAGGTGCAAATCACTGCGGCGCAAACACTAACGGCGTTTACAGACAAATCCTTCGCTGTCGTCAAGAGGGTGATGTGCGAGGAGGCACCTGAATGTCTCGATTCCTGGAGGAGCCGAAACCTTGAAGAGGACGACTGCCGGAAGATGTTAATAAATGTGTTGGATAAAGAGGGGCACGAAGGTTAGTTAATCGAAACGGGTGTGGCTGCTGCGTTATTCTTATTATTGCGATTGTAAAAGATTTCGTTTAGTTAAGAATATCGTCAATGTGAGGCATTGCGATGGAGCCATGGGTAGGCTCTGTCTCACATGCAGTTGTTTCTGTCCCTCTGTGTGTGGGTCGTTTTTTCTTCACCCTGTGAATGCCCTTTTGTTTTTGTTTTTTCCTATTTGTTATTTTGTTTTCGTTACGCTTCCACAGGCCGTCTCAGCGAGGGCCCGCACGCAAGACGCGAGTCCAGTAACAGCTGAGCCAGCATGAAGATACAGCCTGTTGCGGCCGGCATCCTTCCTGTTGATCTCATCGACGCCATTCGCGGCGGTGCCGTGACGCTCAGCCAAAAAGGCGACAGCACCATTCTTTTCCACGACGCGGCCGCTGGTGTGGAGTGGAGCTTCGACCTCACGCCGGCGGAGGAAGAATGTACTTTCCGACACCAGCTGAGCGGGGCGGGCGGAAGCGCGCAGATCCCGCGCTTTGCTGCTGTAAAGAAGATGTTGCTAGAGCACGAAGATGAGGTGCCATGCACACTCACCGCGGAGCGTCCCGACACTCCACCGCTTCGTCCGAGCGTTACTGCGGCGCCGGTGACGCTTGCGGATGTCTTGCAGCAGCATCATGCCCTCGCGGTGAAGGTGGCGCACACTTTGGCGCCGGCGCCGCGGGACCACCGCGAGTTTCTCAGCGCCGTTGCGCCAGTGGACAGTGATGCGCTGGACGCCGTGCTGCAGGTGTTAACACGGCTGAATCGCCGCGGGCAGCGGGAGCTCGAGGCAGCCGGGTACGAACTTGTCGACATTGAGCGCTACGGATCCAAGGCGGTCAAGCAGCAGGTGGCGAATCTCGCCCTCCCGAAGGTCGCGCATGACAAGGCGGTGTTGGACCGCTTCGCCCTGTACGCGGACCGCGACGTGATGTTGGCGGTGTGCTCGAAGGGCATCATGCATGGGCTTGGAACCGCCAAGCGGCAGCGACACAATGACACTGACGACGACGATGACGATGATGATGATAACAACGCGGATGAGGGCGAGGAAGGAGTGGCGAGGCGAAAGGCGGTGGCGGCGACGCAGGCAACAAAAACAGAAAAGGCGTCGCCGGTGCTTCTCACTTCCATGGAGCAGAGTGGAATTCGGTGGGGCGATGGGGACCTCACAAGGGAGCCGTGGGTCATGCCGTCGGCAGTGAAGGAAGCGTTAGTGCAGCGGCAGCAGGCGGAAGCGGCGGCGAGGTCACGTGTGAACCATCCGCTGGCGTCCATGCCGATTGTGGACGCAACACAGCTGACTGCTGCACGCGGCCATTACGTTATTCTTCAGAAAGAGTATCAGATTGTGTACGACCTTTTAAGGCGCCTGGAGGACGTGAGCGTGGCGGCAAGGGGATGGTGCGAAACGAACAATGGACGCCTCTCCCAGAAGCTGCGCAAAGAGCTGGAGTGTTGGTTTGAAAAACAGGAGGGGCCCCGTGCGACCCTCACCACATCGCTGGATATTCTGCATAAGGCGCTCTACCAGCTGAAGCGGGAAATTGAAGATTATGTCAACCTCCGCGAGTGGGGGGTCGTGCCGTCTTGAGGAGATTAGAAGATTTAAATGGCCGAAGAGGGAGATGATGTATGCGTCGGAGAGAAGGAAGGAGTCTCTCTCTCTCTCTCTCTGTGTGTGTGTGTGTCTGGCTGGTGGCCCTACCACTGCGTTGTTGAGCCGTTCTTTGTGTTTGCCCTTGCTGTTTGGCAGGGCTACTCTCAGAGACCGATATTCAATGGCACCTCGATGCCACTGGAAATGTTGTTTTTTCCTGCTTTTTTTTTGCTTTTATCCCTGTGGTACTTCTTCTTGTGTAAAGTGATATATTGTCGTCCTTGGCAGACGGGCAAACGTACAGTGGAAGGGGAGAAACAGGTCTGTGGGTGTGTGGAGGGATACTTGTATTAGCAATTCCATCCAACAGAGGATTGGGCCCGCTAGAAACACACACACACACACACGAGTAGGATGATCTCGCAGGAGGAGCCACAGCAGCAGCAGCCCCAGGCATCGACCCCACCGCAACCACCACCGCCGCCGCCACCGCCACCGTACCCGCTTGGTGTGGCCCTTCCGCCGGAATACACTCCACCACCCGATAGCCAACAGACGCGTACGTCATCACCGCCACAAGAACAGCCTTGTGACACCGACGACATGTACGATGACCATATCAGCTTTCTTCGCACCGTCAAGGCGTTTCGGTCGTACCGAAAGCAGGCATTAGCCGCACGTGACACACGGCTACAGAACTTCTTGAAATTCCATCAGCAACACAAACAGTCTCTTTGTATCGATCTGGACTCCATGTTTTCTACCTACCTGGATTGTATAGAGACGAACAGCCGTTTTTTTGAATCCGTCTGCAACGCTTCGACGGAACTGTTCGACACTTACTGGCCGATGGGTACCACCGTGCAGATGGAAGACGTTCCTCCGCCTACTGCCCTAGACCTCGACAAGGTCTTTTCCACCCTGCGGCAATTTGTGCGTGACTGGTCGGCAGAAGGGGCGCCGGAACGCGACTCGGTGTACCTGCCTATTCTCTCCACGCTGGAGGAGTGTTTCCCCAACCTGGAGGGGCGTGCGTATGCGAGGATTCTCGTTCCCGGTGCTGGGCTGTGCCGCCTTACGGTTGAGCTCGCGTTGCGGGGCTTCGCTGCACAGGCGAATGAGTTCAGCTACCACATGCTCATTGCGGGACACTACATTCAAAATCACGTCGTCTCCTCGTGTCAACACAAGATACACCCGTACGTTGACAACACCAGCAATATGGTGAACCGTGAGGACCAGTTTGCGGAGGTGCTTATCCCTGACCTCTGCGCCGCTGAGGCTATTGACCAGCTGCGTGAGGGCCAGCACGTATCCTTCGGTGAACTCTCCATGGTTGCGGGTGACTTCACGGAGGTGTACGCAAAGGAGCACCAGCGAAAGAGCTGGAGTGCCGTGGCAACGTGCTTCTTCATTGACACTGCTCACAACATTGTGGAATACATGGAGATTATTTACAATCTGCTCACACCCGGAGGGTACTGGGTGAATGTTGGACCGCTGCTGTACCACTTTGCGGACTCGTCCGATGACGTGTCGATTGAACTGTCACTCGGGGAGGTACTCACAGTGGCGCAGCGCATCGGTTTTGTTCTTATCCGCCCGCCGACATTCATTGACACAACCTACACAAATAATCATCGAAGCATGAAGCAGCTGGTGTATCGCTGCGCCTTTTTCTTACTACAACGGCCGCTGACGGAAGCAAAGGAGCGGGAGCAGCAGCATGGAAAGCTGACGGTGGACAAGATATAACAAACTTGGAGTACACTCGAACGTGCGCACACAAACACACATACAGACTTTGCAAATAACGAAAAGTGGGAATAGCGTGGCAGGGATGAAAAAGGAGCAGGATCACTCTTGCACGTAACATGGCCGCCAGACACCTGCTCTGTGCCGACGAAATGTCCATTTGTTTTCGACGTACGCACACAACATGCGATCTTGCGCAACTGGGCAAGAGATCATGTTGCTGGTTTACTGAGTGGTCGCTGCCTATTTTTGGACCTGCGATGAAATTCCCGCCTTCTCTCTCAGTCCTGTTCGAAACTGTTCTTTATGGCGTCTTCTTTTGTCAATGTGTATGGTTGCCGGTGACCGATGATAATTCAGAAGAATAAAGAGCGGGAGAGTGATAAGGAAATGTCTTGCCGAAGTGGGTGGTGGTAACGTGGTTGGGGGGATGGCTCCAGCACGACCTCTTGTTTTGCTCTCCTCCATTGGTGTCGCTGACGCTCTCTCTTTTCGTCTTGACTTCTGATAGCAATGCTGCAAGCGGTACACAAGAAAAAGATGGCAGCGTGAGCACCGACGGAGTGCGTATCGTAATGTTTCCATGATGTTGTTGTTGCTGTTGTTGTTTTCGTTTCTTCGTGCAATCTCTGCCAATGGCACACGTGGTACCTCCTTGCCCCCGTCCTCCGGTGTATGTATATATGCGTATTGTTGCCCCAGCAGTAGACACCCACACGCACAAAGCGAGAGAGAGAGAGAGAGTGTGTGTGTGTGTAAAGGAATTATTACTTGGAACAAGAAGCGAAAGACTTCAACACTCGGACAGATACATGCAGCTCTCCTGCGGCAACGATGCTGCGAAAACCCCCCAGCAAGAGGAGGTGGTGGCACCGTTGCCTGGGGATGCCCACGACGACACAGAGCGCCACACGGATGGCGCGGCGCCACGACGGCGCTTCCGAGCGGCACGGCGGCGCGAGCAGCCTCCGCATGGGGGGGCATTTGGCTCCACGCAGACGGACGAGCCCCCAAGGCAGCCGAGACAGCGCATCATACGACTCAGCACACTCGCTGCCGCTGTCAACCCGCTTCATCGTTACTTCTCCCTTGCGGTACACAATGGCAGCGCGGACGCGGTGCCGTTCTCTCCGCCGTGTCTTCGCTGCCCCTACTGCAAAGGTTGCCAGCTTCATATGCAGTTCTGTAGCGGGGCCTATGGTATGCGTCACCTCCTGGCGTGGATCATGCGGAGAAAACCACCCATGGCAGGAAAGAGGAGAACAATTGAGATGTACTGCACTGCCGCGAACCGTGGTGTTGTTGCTTCTGCTGCTTCTTCACAGCGTCGTGTTTGCCGCTTCGAGGTTGGTCCTGTGGTGATTACACGACACATTATTTATGCCTCTAGGGATCAAACATTGGAGACATTGGATCGTGGAGGAACAACGGGAACTTTTGCCGGCATGGTTTGCCCTCGACCGTTGAACTTCCTCGATGTCTTCTTTGGTATCTTCTACGGTACAACAGAAAGAGGGAGGGACACCTCGGGGTATCATATTCTTCAGATCACTGCTATGCGTGCCGTGGCGGCGCAAGCACGGGCACTATGGGAGAAGCTTACCTACTCGCCAGAGAGGGACACGGACGCTGTAACTATACCTGCTGGGCAGTACAGGCCAAGGGACAAGAGCATACCACCTCGTCGGGTACCAGTTGACTGGAGATGTCCGGCGTTATTCTTCTCGCTTCTGCCACGCGCCCAGGTGGGAAACAACGGCATCACGTTTGTTCTGTGGCTTCCAGAGCTTGCTCGCCACATCCTCACCGCGTATGTCATGGAGGATGGCGAGTTCTGGCGTGCCCCACACACCTGCGGCCCTGAATCAAAAGAAGAAGACACACCGCCCGAAGCACCACCACTGCAGCCAGAAGCAGCAAAAGAGGAAGAAAAAACTGAAACCGAAAGTGCAAAGAGCCCAGAGGTTCCTGAAGACGCAGCAGAGGCCCCTGTTTCCGGCGAAAAGTGGGAAGGTGAGGTGAAATGTCGCCGCTGTTACGTCCCTGGCAACTGCTGGGGCCTCATCTGCCGCCGCCACCGAGAGGAACGGGACATCACAAACACTATCCTACGCGTGCGCCGCGCATGTGTCAGACGTAGAGTAGTGCGCCGAGCCATTCTCGGCAACAGCGGTGAATGGGGCCCCGAGCCAAACGGCGTTCTGTGGATCAACAGGCACAAGGCACGTGCCCAATTTATGGCGCTGATGGTGGCGTACATGATGAGAAAAACAGTTTGTGGGCCATACAAGCAACGCCATCTCACACCACCGCCAGCGTGCAAGACGGTAGCAGAGGGCACTGTCTATTCGGTGTGATCCCTTTCTTTTTTTTTTTGTTGTTGTTTCGATTCTCACGCTACTTTTTTTTATTATTATCACAGTCTCTCTTCACATTGGATTTGGGCATGGCGAGTAGGCTCGCCACACGGTGCGGCGTTTTCACGCTACCGCGCACGTCGGCCTTATTTGTTTTATTGTGTTTCGTAATAGGAGCGGGGGGTGGGGGATGTTTTTTGGGTGCTTGGCTCTCCGATGACTCAGGGCACTGAGGTTACGTGCCCCACGCAAAGGGTTAGGCCACAGAGGCTCTTGCGACTGCCTGTGGGGTTGATGCTTTTGATTCTGTGTGCGCGCTTCTCACTCATTTTCTCTTTTTGATTTGTGTTTCTCTGTGGGGTTTTGCCTCCAATTTCGACGTCTTCCATGGTGTGTGTAGCGACTGCGCAACAGCAGCAGCATGGAGTCGTCCAACTGGCGGATTGCGGGGTCGCCAACGTCGACGAAGTGGAGCTCTAAAGGGCGCAACAGCTTGGAGCAGTCGGCGCAAGGCAGGCCCAAGGGCATTAGTCTCACCCGCGCGGACGTGGAGGCCGCATTCGCTTTCTTTGATGTGCAAAATAAAAAGGAACTGAAGCCACGCGATCTGAAGGTGCGGCTCTCCGCCTTCTACCCAGAGATGACGAATAGGGAGTTCAAGTTTCTCCTCGATGAGACCACCAACGGAAGATTCACAGCGGATTCGCTCTGGAGCATCATTGACAACTTTCATGGAACAAACACATCGGCGGCGGAGTGTTTGAAGTTTGACCCCGTCAAGGAGGCGTTTCGCATTTACGACCCGCAGGGCCACGGTGTTGTGGACGTTAACGTGCTGGCGAATATTATGCAACGCATCGGGTTGGGCGAGCTCTCGCAAGAAGAGGTGGAGCTGCTGATCCACACCGCAGATTTTGATAAGGACGGGAAGATAAACCTCGAGGATTTCCACAACCTTCTAAAAATTGGCCGGTAGATGAATAGAAGAAAGGAAAAAATAAACTGAAGGGGTCAGAGGGATGAAGTAAGGGGTCTGTATTGCGCTGGTGGGAAGGAGGGATTGAATATTCTGACGTATCTCTCTCTCGCCCCCCCCGCCCGCTCGCTCAGCCTCTTTGAGTGCAGACGTACATCCACATCGGCCCATTGGTACTTGCGAGGTGGGGCACACCTACTTGTGAACGTTGTTTGGTATGACACATGTATAGTTCACGCAGAGAGGAAGTGAGAAAGAAAGAAAGAGAGAGAGAGAGAGAGAGAGAGACTTCCTCACTCAGTGGGTGTGGAGGAGTGCCTCGCACAGTTCTCTCAGTGTGTGCTCCCTTCCCTCTCCACCGTGTCTTTTGTTTTTCTGATTTGCCCTGGTAAAAGTTGGAGTGAATACTGCTAAGCGAGTAAGGAGAGCAAAGTATAACCAAAACGGCAATGGCAAATTTTACTGAAGTTACCGCGTCGGTGCAAGCCCTCCTGAAGGAACTCCCTCATCTGCACATGCTCCCGCAGACGAAGCAGTTAAGGTACCTTTTCACAATCATCCGTGACAAGAACACAACCCGTACGGACTTTGTGTTCTACTGCGACCGCATCATCCGTCTCGTCGTGGAGGCAGGACTCGAGCTTCTCCCAGTGGATAAGAAGGATGTGACTACGCCGACTGGTGCAACGTACCACGGCTGCAACCCGGACGAAAAGGGCATCATTGGTATTAGCATTCTGCGCGCTGGTGAGTCCATGGAGCGTGTTCTGCGTGAGACATGCCGTGGTGTGCGCATTGGGAAAATCTTGATCCAGCGCGACGAGAAGAGTGACGACAAGCACCCTGATGAGCGGTTCAACTACAGCAAGGTGCCCAAGGATGTGGCGGAGCGACAAGTGCTTCTGCTGGATCCAATGATTGCCTCTGGTGGTAGCGCAATCCGCGCCACGGAGATTCTCCTCCGTGACTACAATGTGGAAGAGGAGAGCATCATCTTCCTGAACCTCATCACGTGCCCGGAGGGTGTCCGCCGCTACATGAACAAGTTCCCCAAGATTCAGGTGGTGACTGCCGCCATCGATGATGAGCTCAACAGCGATAAATACATCATCCCTGGTCTTGGTGACTTCGGGGACCGCTACTTTGGTACCCACGAGTAAAAGGGAAAAAAACATTGAAGGAGCAAACAAGGTTTGTGGGTGCAATTGCCGACGATCGTTTATTTCGCATCTCAAACGCTCTGGGGAAAGGAGGGGAGGGGGTGGTTCTAGCTTTTGCGTGGGGGTAGGTGAAAGGATTGGTGAGTCTCCCTGTTGGGAATACAAGGGTGTGCGCAAGTTTTCTTACATACAAGCAAAATTTTTTCCGTTGAATTCATCGATTTGTCATTATTTCCACCATTTTTTGTGTGTACTTCTCTACACATGGGCCCCCCCCTGCATACGCAGGCACTCGGAAAGGGGTGCGAAAGAAAAGTTATCAATGAGGCACGAATATCAACCCAAGGAATCAACCAAACAATCCCAACATGTTACACTCACGAGATGCGACTACGCCCGTTTTTTCACCCTTCTCTTTCTTCCTTGATCTAAGAGCGAATGTGAAGTGTGAATGTGGGCACATGTGGAGAATGCCCTTTTTTTTAATGGGAATATAATTATTTGAGACTGAAGCATTGCGGAGAAAGTGAGGAGACAAAAGGAGAGGCTACCCTTGTTTTTGGCGAAATGGGTTTTAATTTCTGGACAATGTGTATGGGCCTAAACAAAGAGCGTGGTGAAATCTCGCATCTCCAGGTGTGGTGCTAAGAAGTACTTTTCGGTTGATATTATTATTCCTTTTTTTGCTCTCGCTGTGGATTCTCCTGCTACTTCGTAATGGGAAGGGGTCTCCTTTGTGATGTTTCCAGCCTCTGGGAGCTGTTTTTTTTTTTGTTGTTGTTGTGGGTGTAGTAGTGTGAAATAGATAGAGAGAGAGAGGGGGGAGAGGTATCATCGACGTCGATGAGCGGTGTGGCGCCTGACCTTGCGGCGCAGGCGCAGTGTAGGCGGGAGGCGGCCGCCAATCTTGGTCAGTGGCGCGATGTCCTGTTTGCGCTGGCAAAGACGCTGCCCCAGGACATCGGTACGAGGCCCGTGCGGGAGGTGCTGGAGGAACTCCAGCAGAAGAAAGATTCCAAGTTTCTAGGTCTCCTGGAGGCTTTAAACGGAGACGAGGTAAAAAAGGCGTGTGACGTGAATAACGACGAGGCGGTACGGTGGAAGGAGCATGGAAATAAAGCATATGGTTCAGGGAAATTTGAAGAATGTGTGCTCATGTACACCCGTGGAATGATGTATGCAAGCGAAGACGAATCTTTGGCGATGCTCATCTGCAACCGGGGCGCAGCTTTGATGGCGCAGGAGCAGTTTGTTGAAGCGTTAGCCGATGCCCACGCAACCTTCACCCTCACTCCGGACTATTGGAAGGCTTTACAGCGTCGCGGGGCGTGCTTGAAGAGGTTGGGTTTTGAAGTGGAAGGTGAAAAAGACATTGACGCAGCCAACAATGCGGACGTGGGATCTGCAAACGCAGCGGAGGTGGTGACTAAAATTCTCCACGCAGGCGACGGCAGTGGCTGCAGCACGGTTTCACCGGGAACAGATGTCATACCTTATTTGGATGGTATTTCCTATGGGGCGGGTGTGAAGGGTGTGGTGGCAAAGAAACGCTTGGAACCTGGAGAGGTTATTACCGAGACACCAGTTGCGCATGCACTGTATGATGATCACTGGGGATTGCGGTGCTGCTACTGCCTACGAAGGACACGTGCCTTGTATCCGGCAACAGCGTACCGTGCCAAAGGAAAGGTAGCTCGGGGGCTATTTTGTAGTGAGGTATGTGGCAATACCTCCTGGGAGCGTTACGGTCAGTACGAAAGTGGCAATTCGTTCTTTCAAATGTGTCCCGTTGATGCTCTTGTGGCAAGCCGGATGCTGCGTTGTGAGCAGGCTGGGCCAACTCCCGTGCCGCTTCGTGGTGACTTCACAGGTGAGTTGTACCCCGCTTCTGTCATAGGTGGTTACGAGACTCTTGTGAGTCTTTGTGCTTTGTTGTTGGGGGCTGTGAGTGCAGAGGATGCTGATCGTCTACGGCTTGCTCAACGACAAGTCTTATTGTCTGGCTTTGAGATTAGATTTTTCACGGGTTCGCAAATTACGATAAACCCTGAAAAGATGGAGGCGTTTATTGACGAATCTCGCCCCATAGCAATTGGGAAGGCAGTGTGCATGACTGCAGCCCGATTTCGTCACTCGTGTGTCCCGAACTGCTTTGCATCATTTGTCGGGAACCCACTTGAATGCTCACTGACACTCACAATTCGTGCCATAAAGCCAATCCTACCAGAGGAAGAGCTAAACATTGCATATTACAACATGACGACGTACAAGGCTGTTAGTGCTCATACCCGCCGACGTGCCCTTGTTGAGCGTTGCGGTTTTGTGTGCAACTGTCCTGCGTGCCTCGATAACAAGGATGAGCGCGTAACGGTCGATAAGAAGGAGTACTATATTCAATCCAGTGATTTGTACCAAAAAGGGTGTCGGTTAATACGAGAGGGGCAGTGCGATGTTGCTGTCAATGTATTGACGCAGAGTTACACTATTGCTATGGAGCACCTGTGTCCACCGCCACAACCACCTCAGTCAATGATTCCAAAGACCCATATGGCCCTTGCCAAGGCATTCAATCGTTTGAAGGAAAACACAAAATGTGTGGAGCACCTAAAGGCAAAGGTGGAGTTGGATGAACGACTCTATGGGGAAGACCATATTGAGTTTGTGGATGACTATATCCGCCTTGCATTCTTTGAGTCCACTGAANGGATGAACGACTCTATGGGGAAGACCATATTGAGTTTGTGGATGACTATATCCGCCTTGCATTCTTTGAGTCCACTGAAGAGGGAAGAAGAATGTATGCAGAGAAAGCGGTGGAGATGTTGACCCGTTTCTATGCTCCATCGAATCAACTCAGTGCTCAGATTAAACGTGTGCAGTCCTTTGTGCTACGGAGTCATTCTTGACGCGGTAAATGAATACATTTGTTTTGGGCATATCCACATGCATTTCTCTCTTTTTTTCTCGCTCACACTGTGCCTGCCCAGAAAGAGGTGAGGGGAGTGAGAAGAAGGAGATGCTGTGTTTATTCCGGTTCGAAAATCACACCCACGAAGGACTTTCATTGTCCTTTTTTGTTTTTTGTTGTTGTTTTGTAAAGATGAAAAAAAAATTAAGCTCTTGTTGTTGTCTGCGTTGGCGATGAATTGGGGGGGGGCACCCCGGGGGAGTGCCTTTCACCGTTGCGCTGCCCATTTGGGGGTGGGGGAGAGAGGCGCAAGAAAAATTGTCTTGCTTTCTTTTGGGGTTTCTCGTTCTTTCTTCCATCGGTATAGATATAACCCCCTCTCTCTGTAGGTGTGGGGGTGTCTGTCGCGAAAAANTCGGGGTAAAGGGGCTTTTTGGTATGTTCCACCCTCCGCGAGTCGTTGGTGTTTCTCGTGTCGTCGCGGCGCTGCAATGCCAAGCGCGCTTCTGTGCCACTGGTGGCGGTGGCGGTGATGGCGATAAGGGAAAGGGAGAAGCTGACGAAACGAAGGGAGGGGCGAAACCGCCACCAATTAATAAGAGGGACTTCGCGTCACCGAATCTATCATCCGAGAAGCGCTACCCTAAAGGCTTCGATGCATTCTATTCCAAGTTCATTTTGGGAAAAATGGCCTTCACTCGCATTCCAGCAGAGTCAGTGAATCGTGCATATGCCATGTCCCCTGATGAGCGTATTCTGACAAGCCAAATGGCCGCTAAAGCCCTAAAGTGGAAGCGAATCCGCTTGTTAGGAGTTTTTTCTATTCTCCTAGCCGGTGTGGTCATGGCGCGCATTTACATTGCGCAGTCGTACATGGATGGAAATATTGACAACTATACGGCTGTTGTTGTGGATCTGGTGAAGCATACGGCGGCGTTCATTAATGAAAAGGGTGAATGTCTTGGTATGCGTAATTTTGTGGACTATAGATCTTTTGAAGCCTCATGTGATAGCGACAAGGACATCCTTGTGCATTTTTACTCCTACTACCCATGGGTTCCTATGTTATTGCTCTGTCTCTTGCCTGTATTGGCGGTGACAAATTCGGCATTTAGCGGATCTGTAAAAATGGCATCTGTGGCGGCCGAAAAGAGTCGGTTTAATTTTAAACGTGAATTCTCTGTATCCACCCGCTTGGCCGACGTAGCAGGCTTGACAGAAGCCAAGCATGAAGTGGTAGAGGTTATTGATTTTTTAAAAAATCCTGGTCGCTACAGAGCGCTTGGGGCAAAACTGCCTAAGGGTGTCCTCCTAGATGGCCCCCCTGGTGTAGGGAAGACACTCCTTGCAAAGGCAGTTGCAGGTGAGGCAATGGTGCCTTTTCTTAGCTGTTCGGGAAGTGAATTTGAAGAGGTCTATGTTGGGGTTGGGGCGCAGCGTGTTCGAGAGCTCTTTAAACAGGCACATGAATGTAAGCCTTGTGTGGTATTTGTGGATGAAATTGATGCTTTTGGTAGAAAAAGAAAGACTGAAACTGGTGGAGGAAGCTCTCGAAGTACATTAAACGCTTTTCTTTCAGAGTTGGATGGATTCAAGGATGCTACGGGAATTATGGTGTTGGCTGCCACAAATCGTTCAGATATTTTGGACAATGCTCTGACGCGATCAGGTCGTTTTGATCGAAAAATAACATTAGAAAAACCCTCGCATAAGGATCGGGTTGCAATTGCAGAGGTTCACCTGAAACCATTAAAGTTGGAGTCCTCAAGCACACTTGGTGGTTATGCGGAAGCTGTTGCGGCACTAACACCAGGGTGTAGCGGTGCGGATATATTTAATATTTGCAATGAAGCTGCTATTCAGGCAGCGCGTGAAGGTAAGGAATGTGTTTCACAGCGTCATTTTCATCAAGCTGTGGAACGAGTTTTGGTAGGATTGGAAAAGAGCGCAGTGAAGCTTACTGAACATGAACGGGAACGTATTTCGTTTCATGAAGCTGGTGTTGTTGTTCTTCATTGGTTTCAGGAGAAGACAGATCCTGTTGTTAAGACGACAATCCTTCCTCGTGGGCGTCATCGCACAGGTGTAACACAAAAACTGCCCCAGACGACATTTATTTTTACTCAGGAGCAACTCATGCAAAATCTGGTAGCTCAACTTGGAGGATATGTGACTGAGGAACACTTTTTTGACGATATTTCCACCTCTGCCGCGGAGGATTTACAATCCGCGACAGACAAGGCACGCCATTATGTCTGTACCTACGGCATGGATCCGGAAAAGATTGGACATTTTGGATACGACTTGGATCAATCGGATAGTATTCAAAAACCCTTTGGTCCTGCAAAGGAGGATATTGTAGATCAAGCTGTGCATCAACTTATTTCCCAGGCTCTTGAGGGTGCACGATTGATTCTTGGGCAATACATTGACAAGACCCGTGCAGTGGCTGGTCTTTTGATGCGGCAAGAAACCCTAACGGCTCATGAACTGTGGCTCGTGCTTGGCGATCGCCCCGTCATGACGAAAGAATTCCGAACCTATCTCGAGAGTTAAACCCCATATCAAACAAAAAAAAATGGAAGGGGAATGATCTTCACACATGTTGTTGTTGTTATTTGGCGGGTGGGTTTGCGTATATGTGTGTGTTATCTTCTTTTCCAGCGTGTCGAGGGCTTCCTGTCGGGGAGAACAGGGTAGGAAAGAGAAATGGTGCTGCCGCGTCTGCATTATTGTGTTTTTGCTCTTTCGCTTTTTCGTCCCACAGACCTCATTAGAAAAGCAGTTCCGGGAAGCAGGCATGCGCGCGTAGGGGGTGGGATGGTGGAGGAGGGTCAAAAAAAAAAAAAA